ACATGCTTACGTATGTTAGACATCACGCCTTATATAAATCATATAATAAATGAAATATGTTAATGAAATATTTGCGTAGTTATTAATCAAATCAGAGAAAAAAAAAATTTAGGGGTATCACGAGTAGCATATGGGGTACACAAAGGGTCTTCCAACTAGCGATTGGCAAATATAGAATTAGACGTTACCGTCTTATCAACAATGTAGTTCAGGGGACTGGAAGACTTGCGCGATGAGAGGCAACGCAATTTTGGGCCAATATACGGCTTGAGAGGCGGAGGTGGTGGTGATGGTGTTTTTAACTCAAGCTCCTGTGAACAGTCTTAACTAAATCACTAGAATTGTCTGTTTGGCTGCCTGCCTGCCTGCATGAGTACTGAGGTATACAAAATACGTTATTAACTAGTCCTGAAATAGTAACTTAACTTGTTTATATGTAAATAGGACCTAAAGAAATATATAAAAGATAATATTCTGAATATATAGATATGTATATACGTATAAATATTACATGTCCTAGACTTACCTCGTTATCTAGTACATTGGCGATCACCTCTACAAGCATAGCGCCGCAATCTCCTGTACTATCAGAACCACATGTTTCAACAAGTAGATCTGGTTGTATATAATGCACCATCTTTCTAATTAAACTTAAACTGGCTTTCCTAACACTGGGTAACATAGACGACTGAAACGTTGCACAAAATACCGGTAATAATCGTTTTAGATAAACTGGCGCCATCTCAGGATCACCTTTCGGTTCTGTGAATTCTGATTCCGTTTCTGGTTTTCTGTGCTCTTGGTTTGGTAACATCCATTCCCCAGGAGATTGCAATATAGCTGCCACTTCCCTGTGCCCCTCGTCCACTCGTTCTCTGGCTTTGTCTAATGGCGTTTTCCCGTCTTCGTCTCTTAAATCTGGATTTGCCCCATGCTTAAGTAACACTTTAGCGATAGCAGGTCTTCCGAAGCACGCGGCATAGTGCAAACTAGAGGATCTTTGCCCTTTATTAACGTCCGCCCCCCTGTCGCATAAAAATTCAACCATTTCTTGAGTCCCAAATGCGGATGCCCAATTAAGCAACGTTTGGCCAACATCATCCATGAAATTCACTTCGATGCCACCGGAATCTATAGCCTCTATTAAAGCATCCGTATCTTTTGATCGAATACAATCTATCAGTTGCCTATGAGATTTCTCCCCAGCACTATCCAAACGCCTCAATCGTGGTAACAACGGGCCTGACGATCCACCGGTTGCGTTGCGACCTAATGCTGATCTTCCCTCGAATAGCAGGACTAATAATAAATCGACTAATCTCATAGAATCAAGAGCACATCGTTCATCCCCTTTTAAGGCTTTCTCAATTGCATCTGGTAGCTCAGAACGTAAAAGATCATGGGTTATAGAAGGTGATCCTCTGCAAAGTGTTGATAAAAGGCTAATTATGGTGGATACAGAAGCACATGACTTTGCTTCTGGAACTGGAATTGTTGAAGCTGTGCTAGAGGGCGGAGGTGTCTTTGGATTCCCGGAAGTTGCTGCCACTGATGTACCAGGTCCTGCTGCATTCGACAGCCTATAAAGGAAAATTTTAATTATAGCAACATGTATAATTTACTAATTCTAACTATTAGGAAAACATACCTATGTAAAAGTTCTGAAACTAATCCATTACATGCTAAAGGAGCAGGGTCTGTATTTCGCCTTGAAAACCGATCAGCAAGTGATGCGAAACATCGAAGCGCTCCATCGGCAACATGTGCATCCTCGTGTCTAAGTAATGTTGATAAAGCTTCAACGCAATCCGGCAATGATTTATCTTGCGGTTCTACTTTCCCGCAAAGACGGGTAACTACAGCCATTGCAGAATGTAGGGTGTCTCGGTGGACACGAGCTCCATGCTCTCGAATAAAGCACAAGGCACATGGAAGGCCACCAGCTTCAAATACAGCACCAGCTTCCCTTGCGCAAACCAGTTCTAATACCTAAGGTAACAACAATATTATATATAGTTTGAATATTATATTATATACTAATGGTGGAATCATTCAATACCTTTATGCACTGCTCAGCCAAATCCCGACTAGTCCTGGAACCTAATCCAGCACCGGATAGGCGACTGCAAATTGCTTTCACAGCACCTTCCATTGCTACTACTCTGCGTGTACATTCTGCAGAAACGTCCAAGTAATACGTGATGGCTCGAGCAGTCACTTCTAAGACACTATCCGGTGCAAGTTCATCCAAAAAAATTCTACATAATGCAGGGAGAAATGTGCGTGGTGGACAGCTGTAATGCAAATAATAGATTGTTTGTTTAATACACTGGTTTGTTAATGAAAGATAATTTATATTTAATATTTGTGATATACCATTCAAAGCATCGATCAACATTATCAGACATGAGGAGTAACATGCATAACTGCTCCAAGGCAATTAACTGCATGTCCCTCTCATCTCCTTGGCCCATACTGAGCCACTCTAACAAAGTTTCAGGATCAACATCAGCCATCTATATTTGAACAGAACCAGAAAAATTAAATTTTATAAGAATATATGTATATATAAATATAATGTAAAATCATCATAAGATTAAGCGTATCAATTGAACTCACCTTGTAAGTTTAATAGCACCAATTGAACGTATTTTAAACTGACAATCTGAAACCAACATAAAGGAATAAGCTTAGAAATTTACTAATCATACAATGTTATTCGAGCCAATACTAATTCCATTAAAAAAATTAAATTTTTATGTCATCAAAAGGTGTCAATACAAGTCGTACATAGTTCATACAAAGACTATTGATAGCTTGCAAAGATGACAAACATAAATGCACAAACAGTCCCCTAAAACATCTATATTAAGAATTCCATTGACAGTAGTATTCTCCCTTCCATGTTTCTTTATGCCTCGCGAAACATGACTGCTAGAATATTTCAGGCATGTAAATAATCTTGATAAGGGACGATTGCGCTAATGGATCAATTCGAGAACGTTCACCGATGCAACAAATAGAGACACGTGGTTTCAGATCCGATATCGCGAAGCTGTATACTGTCGTCGAGGCACAAAGACAGGTGGAAAAAAATTTGTCATGACGACGGCTGAACGCGTGATAGTGTCTTTAATAACATCATGTAACCTTCAGAGGTTTCGGAGGGATAGCTGTTGCCGTGCAGGTGCATACCCTGAATTCCCACACACATAGAAAAATAATTGCGTATAGTTCGGTAAATACGACCTGCTTACGGGTAACGTACCGTTGTGCACAGTATTCCATTATTCGGAAGGGGTCAGGTCGCCATCCTTCCAAAGACGTGTCGTTTTCCCACTGCGAAAAACAACGTAACCGTGTCGTCGTGCTTGGTCCGTTAGCGACACGAAAGTCTAATCGGACCAACGGACCGACAAACCACACCACCGAACGAAAAGATCTCACTTTGCCCTAGTGTCGTCGTATATTGTATTTCGCCATTTACGCGACGTTCAGGGTATAGTTCGGTGTCACAACCACAGATAATTATAGACAGGTAATTCTGCGTAAAAAGCTGAACATTCGTAGCGCTACCAGCGATATGCTTCACAACTAAACAGGAAAGAGCGAAATCTGAATTTTATTCGCGTTTATTTGGAGATTTAAGAAGGAAATACATGAAATGTATTTTTTGTAATTTTAATTCAACATTTTTATAAGATAATATTACGTTTCTGTGTGTAAGTAAAATAGAAACTCTTCTCGGTGATATGGTACTTTATGACCAATTTGCAGCGCTGTGCGATTTGCATGCGCTCTATAATCATAGCAGCAAGATGCAGATCGAGAAATTATGAATGGAAATAATTATCTATTTCTTACTTAATACTTTAGTCGATGAAAGAAATGCATCGTTGTTTTTTCAGAATTTGTAGTACATATAAGGAAATAAATAATTTATATTGAAATATACAACTTACAATGTAAGTGTTATTGGTAGCGTTTGAACCGTTTGCCTAGAGATGTCGCTTCGTTATTCTACTTGGAATCGTACCTTCCAGAAACATTTAAATGTCATTGTTTTTGTAAATAGAACGTATCAATGTTAATAAGGAGGAAGTAATAATAATATCGATATACTTTTTTTAAGAAATGTTTATATTACAAAATATATTTCTGTATTTTCATGTTTTCACCTTACCCTAATACTGTTAGTAAATTCATTTTATATTAACGCTGGTGGTATTTAATATTAACAGACTTTAAACATTAATAGGAATCACGCTTGCTGTTTCTTCCTTTTACAGCAATAATTCAACGAATCTTTCTTTTGCGTTGTACAACTGTAAAATGTATAAAATATTTGAATAAATGTTGAGTACAAAATTAAACTAATTATTTGCAATTTTACCTTTTCTTTCTGCTATGATTTCTTTCCGTTTTTCTTTAAATGTAGTAGGTAAATTTTCTAACATACTTTCAATAAAATTATCAAGAACTATGGACCTATTCATGGATGCCACTGGTGCTCTGCAGACAGGGCATTCTTTTTTCTTTTTATTCCATGTATGAATACAATGATGACAGAATGTGTGCATGCAATTTAATGTTGTTGCTTTTACAAATAACTCTGAGCATATGCTACAAGTTAACTGTTCATCCATTATATTGGTAACTTTATCGATTACAGTTTCTTTCTCCTCTGTGTCTACAGTAATTTGAGTTGGAAGTGTTAGGTCTATTGTGTCTAAAATAATTGCTGTATCATTTACAATTTCTAAAAATATACAGCTATCATTGGCATCAGAAGGGCCTGCAACTGCAAATAAAAATTTAATGTATGGCATGTTACTTAATCATTTAATGCTTTCAACAATAACATAAATGATAATACCATTAGCCTGTGGTATTTCAACTTTAGCTTCTTTTTCTTTCAAAGCTTTTTCTGTTTCTTTTAACTTCTCTTCCAAAAATGTTTTTTCATTTAACAACTGAGCCTGTATATTTTTCTCTTCTTTAACTCTATTTTCCATAACACTTTTCCATTCAGCTTGTTGCTCTTCCCTCCACTTTTCCATCTGTTCCCTCATTTTCATTTCTAATGTCTCTTTCTCCTGTTTGCTCACATTCAATGCTTCTTGCCATTTTTGTCTTTCACTATCTAATCTTTCCTCGAATTGCACTCTTTCATTTTCTAATTTTTCTAATAATTCAGCATACATTTGGTGCAAATGTTGCTCTTGAATGTTACCTTTCTCTATATTACTTTCTAGTATTACAATTTGTTTTTTCAGATCATCTGTATTTTCTCTTGCAACACATTGCTGCTTTAAAAGCTGCTCCAATTGTTGCTTCAATACATCTTGTTCTTTTTGCTTTGTTTGTAACTTATCTTTGAGGACTCTCTTCTGACATTCCTGACTCTCCGCAAATGTTTTTTGCTCTATAAGTACATTATCAAATATTTGTACATCTAATCTAGGTTTTTTTGTTCTATGCTCTTCTTTGGGAACAAGAGTGAACGTGTATCTGAATCGGTCACACGAACTAAATTGTATAATATCCCCATGAATGATTCTTTGGCTTACTCCCGACGTAAGAGGTACATCATTGATAAATGTAGTCGAGGAACTTATATCTTTAATAGTCCATTCCTCGTTCCCTTCGCATCTTAAGATACAGTGCCTCCTGGATATCATAGTATCCAAAATAATCTCATCATTGTCTCTCCCACGACCTATTCTGAACTATTAAAGATTACAAATTTCATTAATAATGGGCGCAGAAGAACGGTAAGACGTTACGTTACAGAGATTTTATTCTGTACCTCATTTTTATCAATACGAATGTCATGAGGAGCACAACCCTGTTTATCAAGCCTTACTAAAATCGGCTCCAGCGATTGCGTGTCGGAATCGTCTAATGTTACCCTCTTTTCTCCCTTTGAATTTTCCATCATTCAAAGCCTCGCTAGTATAAATAAATGGTTTAAGGATAATCATCAAACGACGTACTTTTCTATCTCTTATGTAAGCTTATTGAACTTTACAAAGATATATGATAGTGACAAATAAAATTGAAATGAACAAGCGACAAATTCTCGCGTGGATTCCTTGTCAACAAGGAAGTAGAAAAGCCGCGAATCGGATGTCCGGTGGCGACATCTTGCAGCAATCTATATATCTAAAATAACAATTGCTTCAAATAACTGCATTATCGTCAGTTAAAAATAATTACCAACAGTAATTAATATCACCAGCCAGAACATGTCTACACTGTTTTATCATACATGTTCTAGAAACCACCTACATTATCTACACGTGCAAGTGTCGCAATCTATTTTTTATCAGTTCTGAACGTAACCATCATTCATCAATTAAAAGATTTCGTGTGAAAGCATTTGATTGCATCCACAGTCAAATTAAATTCCCACATTCTACATTCACTTCTACTACTCTCCAGTAGTAAAAAATTCACTGGTTTTATTATCAGTATTTCAAACGTAATAGAATTCTCAATGAACCCAGAGAACGCATGCAATTACCGCATGAATCCATTAATGCCAACTGGAACGACTACATTGTAATTCCTATTAATAATTACAAGAGTGTACTGTTCCGAGATTTCCCTTCCGAATCAATGGTCTCTAGCCGCAAAAATACACTGTTCCAACTGCCCGATTCCTCGGAAGAGGAACAGAATCTCCTGTTTGATCGTGGATGACTCGGAAACAGAAGGATGACTGTACGAAAGGAGAAAAAGAACTCGGGCAGAGCGTAAACGTATCCGTTTGTGCAGCAGGTAGAATTTTTTCGAAGATCGCCGCCGGCGACGGAAAGGGCTTAAACACCTGGCGCGTGCGGTCAGACCGAGGAGGAATTCCAATGAACGAATCCACGTTCGCAAATATTCTCGCGCGGTGAATAACACTGAAAGTATTCGCATGATAAGCGAGTGATAAACTATTTCACTCAATAATCCTAACGTCCAATCTGTACGTTTACCCCGTCTCCTAAGTTCAAATATTTTACATGAAAAATGGACTGTAGGTATTAACTCAAGTAAACATTGAATACGAAAGGTAAGCTAATGTTCGTCTCGGATCGACGTTGTACAGAACGTTAGAGTCTGTTCGCGGAGATAGCCGGTGCGCCGAGATCGGGGCCTCTCGCGGCCGCAAGATTCTGTTCCTCGGAGCCTCCCACGAGGTGAAACACGCCGTTAAATCCCCTCCCGAAGGAGGAGGAACGGCCCAATCAGAGGTTCGCTTTGTGTTCCCGCGTCGCGACCTTAAAGCCCTAGCGTCGTCAGCAATCGCTTCTGGGATCGCCAGGCCCCGGCGGTCGCCATATTGTCAGTGTGCACGATTTTCACGGGAATCGCCGCCGCTCCGTTCGCCGACGGACGTTCTGGTACCGGTCCCGAATCCGACCCGCGGGGTGCGATCCTCTGGGTGACTCGCTGGACGTCGAGGTTCGGTCGTCGACGAGGATGATGTAGCGCGCGAGGTACAAGTGGGAAGGTATCGACGAACGGGACCGTTGCGCTTCTCCCTGGACATCGAGGGGAGCCGATCGTCGTCCGGGGAACGCTTCGGCGATCTAATCGGTTTACAATCGGATACGAGCCGCGTGAAAGTCTCCGGTGGTGCGGTGCGGTCACGGACGACGAGGTTTCACTGGAATGCCCCACTCAGTGTTACGGCACTGAGGCTTGTGAAATGCGGTGGCGGCGGCGGTGGCCCAGCAGCAGGAGCAGCAGCAGCAACAGCAGCAGCAGCGAGAAAAACGGGGGACCCGGCTGAGCGCATTCGCTCTCGGGAGTGCAATATCGCTGGTATCGTCGGCATTCCGCGAGGGGACCTACGCAGAAGTTGGATGAGAACGTTTGGGCCAGTCGGATATGCGCCAGAGCCTCTGTTCCCGGTCGCGGAACTATGCTCGCACGCGTCCACGATCACGACCGTCGCCGCTGACAGATGGAACGCGAGCATACCACGCGATCGCTCGGTGGCCAGCCGTGACGCGAGGACGACGACTCTTTAATCCCGCGGCGAAGCCAAGGCTGTTCGGCGGCTATCGCCGGGGAACTCGTTCGACGCGAGAGTTCAACGGTAAAAGAGCTGTCACGGCGTCCGGCACGTCGAGCAGGCCGTCTCGAAGTTTTACAAGGGTGCGCCGGAACGTGATCTACTATAACGATCCTATGACGAGTCGACGGGAGTTCGTAACAGTGTGACCCGTCGGTTCGCGCTGGTAGACAATGGTGCATCGACGATCGCATGGTGTGAGTTAACGATCGCGCGACAATCGCGTAGGGATCATGCGAAGTGCGTTAACCAGATACGGCTTCGGTATAAAGGGAACGCACGGCGAGAGACGTTCAATCGTGTACAGTAGTTCGAACTGCGTCGCAGGGCCCGTTCGTCGATAAGGTAAGGCTCGTGGCTCGGCGAGGCAGCCGCTTTCAGACGGGGCCCGACTCTCTTAAGTGGTAAATCTGATCTCGGGGAACAGAGAGAAAGAGAAGGAAAGAGAAAGAGAGAGAGAGAGAGAGAGTGAGGGACCGCACAGTGACCCAGATCTTAGCGGGTCGAGTGAGACAAGCCGGGCAACGAAGAAGCTACGGTGGTGGACTTTCTGAAATGGGACACGGCGCTGCCTGGAGCTAAATTAGCCGCGATGTCCAATAAGAGTAAGTCCCAGCCGCAGCAGCAGCCGCAGCAACAGCAGCAGCAGCAGCAGCAGCATCATCATCCGTCGCACGTGACCAAGTCAGCGGCAGTGGAGCAAGTGCCGCCGCGATACCAGCCGCCGCCGCAGCCGACGATCGGCATCCTCAAGAATCATCCTCACTTCGGCACCGGCCCTTCCGCCTCGACCGCCGTGTCGGCCGGCGTTCAAGGTCCGCCGGTGGCCTTGAGCCATCATCAGGCGACGCAGCAGCGACCGGTCCCCCAGCAGAAGGATGCGCAGGGCAAGTACTCGCCGCGGATAGAGCACCGACATCATCCTCAAGGCGGTAATGCCGCCCTGACAGCAGCCGTCTCGAAAACCAGCCAGCCGCAACACGGTTACCTTCAGGCCAAGGTCGGCCAAGGTCAGTACTTGCCGCCTAACGGTCAGTATCCTCCCACGGTAAACACTGCACAAACGCCGCCGATCAGACAGAGGATCACCGACGACGAGTTCCTCCGACTCGGACCCGTGGAGATGCTCAAGTTCGTCCGCAAGACAGAGACCGACATCGCGAGGCTCGCAGCCGAGCAGAACCGACAGATACAGAGCTTGGTGAGTCCCGTCGGAATTTTCTAATCGGAACACCTGGAAATCGGTCGGGTCGTTAGTCTCGGGGAAATTCCGCGGTGAAAAGTGGAAGAGAGGAGATAAAGGTGAAAGCTCGTCGCTCTGCGTTACCGAGATCTAGTTAACCGCGTAAGAAAGGAACGTTTCGAACGACTGTAGGACAGGAGGAGATGTTCCTTTCATTCTTCCTCGTTCGGACAGCGAGAAGACGCCGTCGCGAATCTTGAGCACGTCACACGGAAGTTTTTCGGGGTTCTTCTAGGTCACGCGGGTTGATCCCACCATCGTAACTCCAGCCAGTCACGCACACGTGTGGGCCTGACCGCGAATGATCCCGACGACAATCGGATTCTCTTCGAACCGGCGATCGCCGATCGTGGAATTATATACCGTCGGGGAATACGGGTTTCTCTGCAAAGAAGGAGTACATCTGAGATCCTTCCGTCACGTGAATTCGAGAATGTTCTTAACAAACACGTTACGTACGAGGAGGTTGCAGTTATCTCGAATCGCTCACTTGCCGGACACGTGCGCGACAGGTTTCAGCTAATCGGACGATCGGATTCGTGACCAGATAATATGAGCTTCGATTAGGACTGGCACGTACACTTTCGATGCTGCGTGTCGTTTTATTAGGTCATTTTATTAGAGGCATCGTTGTTTACCTTAGTCCGTCTAGGAGTGAGAAAGAAATGCTTGTTAAATGGTTCAGCGTTCGAATCGAGATATGAACAGGGAAATCCGTTTGTCCTCAGCTGAGCGAGCTGCGAGCGTTGAAGGAGGCGAACCAAAGATTAAGCGACGACAACCAGGAGCTGCGCGATCTTTGTTGCTTTCTGGACGACGATCGCCAGAAAGGACGAAAATTGGCGAGGGAATGGCAGAGGTTCGGGAGGTACACCGCGAGCGTGATGCGTCAGGAGGTCTCCGCCTATCAGAATAAGTTACGTCAACTGGACAATAAACAGCAGGAATTGATCAAGGACAATCTGGAGCTGAAGGAGCTCTGTCTTTACCTGGACGAGGAACGGGGAGGTGGCCAAAGGGACGACGGGGATGGCTCGAGTTCGAGCACCAACGCCGAGGAAACTGCCCCTCCGAGACCTAGGCACGCGTCCACCTTTAACGGTAATGATAATGATAATGATAATGATAATTCACATGGTAATTTGCCTAGAAGTAACAAATGATGTAATTGAGGACACATTGAAAATGGAAAGGTAAAGAAAGAGAAATCGTTTATCACGTTGACGACCAAAGGGAATTAGTTCATTGAACCCTTTGCACTCGAGAGATGACTGTCACCATTTGATTTCATACAGTAAAACTATAAAATTTGATATTTAATATTATACTCCGTATAATGCAGCAATTTGAGAAATATTGAAATAAAATAGCTTTGTTCCTCGGTGTACGTGTGATTTCTCTTCGAGTTAGTTTCATAAAATGTTGTCTTTATCTCATCAGAAAATGTTAAAATATTTCTATAAATGATGCTGCCTAACGTGGTGACATTCTAGACGAACGTGCAATTCAATTGAATGATACAATATTTGATTGCTTCCATTTGCTCAACGAAATCGTACAGTATTCAACGTGTTAACCCTTTGAAATCTAGACGACGCCATTTAAACAAACTAATGAGGAAACATACGTCAATTAAGAAACAAAGAAATTTTATAGAAATATTTCACATGCTGCATTATACAGAACTTAACCCTTTGAACTCTGTAGGCTCCAATATTGCACCAGTTATATTAAATATTTTAATGAATCTTAAAGAAACTACCCTAAAATTATCAGATTTTCCATATATCCAAATTTTGTACTAACAAGGAAAATAAATCGAAGAAATGTTATAGCATTAATTTTCGCTAGGAATACTATAAAAATTGCAGTTGCTGATTACAAAACAAGCTGGAGTGCTATGGGTTGATACTACACATAACACTTTGGAATTTTGTTACATGAAATTGAACGGTGACCGAGGGTCACCCCTCGAGTGCAAAGGGTTAAACGAGCCGAGGAAGAATTATAAGAGAGAACCTCAACGTAACTTTGTTCGTAGATCAAACGATGCAGTACGTGAGGAGTTTGGAGCAACGAGTGAAGCAACTGGAGGAGGACAAGAGTGTCCTGCAGGCGCGGGCGCAGGGATGGGAGGTGGCTCCTGGGGAGATTTGGGAGAATCCAAATAGTCCTGGCGAGAATCCTCATCTCGGAGGTCGTCCGGAAGCGGTGGTGCGAGCTCTTCAGGTTCTCGAGGTCAGGGAGCAGCTTGAAAGAGAAGGCGGCCACGACGGGGAGAAAGCCTTAGTCAGAGAGATGTGTAACGTTAGTCTTTCTAATTGCTTTTGTTAATTCCAACGCTGAATGACGCAAGAGCGCGCGCCGATAATCGTTACGGTTTGCTTCCAGGTTGTCTGGCGAAAGTTGGAGGAAGGTCCGCAAACAAGGCACTGAAGACTGTACTATAATCACGATCCGGTCGAGTCGTAACGCGAAAACGTTGTTACGCGACCCGCTCGCTCGGGTAGCGTATCTAATAAGTATTACATAGTCGTTAATTTGCGAATGTTATGAATTTCATAGATTTTATACGCATGTACCTACAGAATAGTTCGATCTAAGAGAGTCAAGCGTGTCGTGTTTCACAATATTTATATAAAGAATACCGTAGCATCGTTAGATCCTCCGTAGGAGCTGTTAACAAACTTTATTTTTTATTACGAGCCAGTATCGTTTAATTTCGCAACACCATGCCCACAAGCCCCATCCTGACGCGGACCCGCGTTCGGACTCCTAGAACGTAAGAGAGAGAGAGAGAGAGAGAGAGAGAGAGAGAGAGAAAGAGAGAGAGAGCAAGGGTACACGGAACCGTCGCCGCGTATCTGAGAATGCAATCCGAAGTATCATCGCACCTATGAAATAATAATGCGCGGAGTTTACGCTATATACCTTTATCCACAGAAAAAGGGTCTCGGTTTTGTATACTGATTCGGCCTCTATTTTTAGCGTGTCAAAGAACCTTTTTTCAGCGTTCGCTTTTCCAGTGGCCTACATTTCCGGGGACTCGGTTCACGAAATCATTTCGTTTACAGTCGGTTTGATACGGGGCCGTGTAACGTATAAATAATTCGCGACACGGCTCGCGTCGAACGAGATTTTTAAACGATCGATGCGTGGCATTTAAATTTCGTCGAATAAACGAAACAGCTTAATATATATAATAATTCCAGTCAAAAGAGGCGACTGTCAAGAGACGATCGAAATTGCGTTCGAACGTACAATCCCCGACCGTCGAATCGGTCGGCTAAGCACACGCGTGTTTCTAGCAGATCCCAAATAAGTGCATCATTGTAATGCTCGCCGACGATGCATCCGCAGATGTTCGCGGATGCGTTCGTCGCCGAGTTTGCGCCGACCCGGAGGAAAAGCGAAGGTGGGGATCGCGTCCGGTCGCGCTTCTGTCCGGAGGGAGAGAGATGAGAATCACCGGTGATGTGCGTGTGCACTTGCCTCGGGGAGGACAACGCGAGGTTCATCCTTCTTTTCGTTCTACTCGCGGTGTACATGCTCGCCGGCGCTGCGCTCTTCCAACAGTTGGAGGCTGACCTTGAAATACGACAGGTATGAAACAGTAGAAACCATTGTCCGTTTAAAAAATCAAAAACCGTGTACACCGTCGTCGCCGTGAACGAAAGCATCGGTTCCGCCGGACAGTCTGATCGTTATCCTTAACGCAAGTCTACAACAAATGAAATATCGATGAACACTCGGCTATCGGTACATTTATTTCTACATCTCGATACGAAGGTACACTAAGACGAGAAGACTTCAGGCGAACCAAGTGTATTGAGTCATTCGGTGCTTCCAGGCGGCTGAGTTCTGGAGGGTGTACCATACATTCCGGCGGCACCACCTTCAAAGCAGCCCCGTCGCTCTCCAGAGACTGGACGAGCTGCTGTACGCCTACGGGAACGCCTCGTCCTCCGGTGTGATCAACAAGGGCCGGCGATGGGACTTCTCCGGCAGCTTCTACTTCGTGGGCACCATCGTCTCCACGATCGGTAAGCGGAAACGACCGTTCCAGCATTCCACGTGTCTCGCTCGGTGCCGTGCAAGTGAACCGGAATAACGGGTCAGTGGAACATGTGCCGCGCTTTATCGCGACCGTGCTCTCGCCCCCCCTTTTCCCGCGGCGTTTCGGAAAATCTATCTGCTCGGTCGGACGTCAACAACCGTCGGCAAACAATTTTGCAACGTTCGCCCTATATACCCCGTAATCTTGCGCGTTCGGGTACTTTTCCTACTGTCCCGCGAGAGCCGGCCTCTAATCGGCGGCCGCGATTATCGAAACCCGCGGTCACAACAGCGGCGAACGAAGGGGAAAGGGTCGTCGTCCGCGGCACGCGCAAGAATGCGCCGGTGGACTCCGGAATGTTAATATCTCGCGACCCAGTACCGCGGTTGCCCTCCGCAGTCCCTTTGGCCCGGTATTCCGCACCGCGTCCGCGGGGATCGTGGACCTGATTCCGAGCGCCATTTTCCAGGGTACGGGAACACCGCGCCGCAGTCCACGCCGGGTAAAGTCGCCGTGATCTTCTACGGATTCGTCGGCTGCTCCGGTAAGAATGTCGTGTTTCTCGATGCTTGGTCGATCCGTCGTCTCCCACGGATGCTTTGCACAGTAGTTTTCATAGACCAAGCGTACTCGGTCTCGAGAAACTTGACAATGATAGGAATAGAACACGACGATCCGAGACGTAAACGGTCGGGTTTCCAGGCGGGATTCTGTTCTTCAATCTGTTCCTCGAGAGGATCATCACGTTCCTCGCGTGGGTCCTGCGCATTAACCATCAGCACCGTCTGCGGAGACGCTCGAGATTCCTGGAGGGCCGGAAGGACTCTCTGCCGCGGACCGTCGAGATCGACGACAACAGTTCGGACCTGGACCAATGGAAGCCGAGCGTGTACTGGGTGATGTTCTATCTGTCGGTGTTCAGCTGCACGGTGGCCAGCTGCGCTGCCGCCGTTTACGCTCCGCTCGAACAGTGGGAGTACTTCGACGCTCTGTACTTCTGCTTCGTCAGCTTCGCGACCATCGGGTTCGGGGACTTCGTCGCCACGGAGAGGGCGGATCACTCTTACATCTACTGGTGCGTTTCTTCCTTTCCTGAAGCTTGGCCGTCGAAGGTTCTCAATTCGGTGGTTTGTCCCGGCGCAGGTACCGCATCGCCAACTTTCTGTTCGTTCTGCTCGGCTGCTGCTGCACGTACTCCCTGTTGAACGTGACATCGATCGTGATCAAGCAAGGGTTGAATTACATCATACAGAAGATACAGTGCCGGAACCGGCACACGTTCGCGCCGCATTTACCGAGGAGGAGGTCCTCCGTGTCGACGATGTACTTCTCGAAGAGGAGGGGCACCAGGGTGGCCGGAAGGGATTCGCTGAAGGGCGACGGCTCGGATATACCTAGGAGGATGTCCGGAGAGCTGATCTCCATGCAGGATTTCTTCTCGGCGAACAAGGTCTCCCTGGTCGTGATGCAGAAGCAGTTGCACGAGATGGCTCAGTTGAGAAAGGACGGCAACATCGCGACGGTATCCAACGCGGGTACGCTAAAACCTGACGCTGTCGGTCCTCTGGCGATCGTCAGCGAGAAGTTTAAAAGTAAAATTAACAGACATAGGTAAACGGACTATTAGACACGGCGTAGAGGATGACAATAGTATTTTAGATAAAAGAGAGAAAATATAAAATTATTCTTGTAGCAAATATCTCTGTCCGGCGAAGAATTCTTGAATCTAACTCTTTGTACACGCAACGCAGCGCACCTATAATTAATTGGTTCGTTACAATTTGTCTGGCATAGTGAATCGTACGTGTGTCAGTCACTGGGTAACTTTATTTAAGTCATGTTTACAATACAGTTCTCCATGTACTCAACAACATTAACGAACATGCACTCTTTTGTCTTCGCTTCGCCATAATATACGTCATATTATGTGTACATAATGCATGTAAAATAAATTTCGAATCGTTTTACCTGTCGATCTGTCGTTCGTCGCGTTGCGCTTGTTGGGTACCCGGTGAGATTCCACATTTGTCTCCGATCAAACGCGAACCCCGTCTCTCCGGACGTCGCGGATAGTTTTACATGCATCGTGAGATTGACAAAGACAAAAGCAATATTTTTTGTTTATTTTTTTTTCTTCGCCTAAGTAACTATTGAATATCTTTCTTTCAATTTCAACCGCGTTATTTCAATTCGATGAGCGTGTGATGGATGCGAATCTGTCGCGACGAGGCCTCGCGAAAATGAATCCGGATTCGATTGAGAATCTAAGACCGAAACGTACAGACATCTTCCTCCTCGGGATGAGAGTGACAGAGTTGTGAATTATACGAGAGAGAGAGAGAGAGAGAGATAGAGAGAGTAAACTGCGAACAATCCATTACGGACTACAACATTCCCGTGTAATCTACAGACAATTGTTTTATCATGAAAGCCAAACGCGACATGTAGATATGCTATAATCAGGTCTATAAAAAAATGTCGTATCGCATAGACGATGTCCACGCTGTTCTAAGGTCCAGCGGGGGATCAGCGCGTTCTCCAAATTGAAGCCGAGTTTAAATTTCACTTTAAACCTGACCCTTAAATGTTCGACCAGCCTAACATCCATAATTGAATCACATCG